GTTCTTTTTTTTTTTTTTTTTTTTAGTACTGGGAATTGAACCCATGACCTTTGCACTGAGTTGTATCTTCAGCTCTTTTTACATTTTTTATTTTGAGACAAGCTCTTGCTAAATTGCTAAATTCCACAGGTTGAGCTCAAACTTGCAATCTTCCTGCCTCAGCCTCCCAGAGTGTTGAATGAGGTGAGGGCCACCACACCCAGCTCATATTATTCTTTAAATAGCAATTATTATAACATTAGTTACATTATAGTCTTTCTTTTTTTTTTTAACTTTTTTTGGGGGGTACCAGGGATTGAACTTGGGTCCTTGCGTTTTCGAGGCAGGCAGTAGAATCACTGAGCTAAATCCCCAGCCCCTCATTATAGCCTTTCTTATAACCTGTCTTTCTAGGTCATTGTTAGATTTCCCTCACTTTAAGACAGCTGCTACATAAAATAGCCTTCTCCTTCCCATAGTGCCTTGCTCCTCGTCTAAAATATGGCTTCTACCAAAGGACAGTCATCTTCCCAACATGCCTCTCTTCCTGCCAAAAGAATAACCTGATACTTGCTACATCCTAGCTACTAGTGATGTCACAAGCCCCTCCTAGTGATATCACAAGCTCCCCCAATCCCTAGCCAGTACATCACTCAGCCCCACCCCAGTCCTATAAGAAGCGCTCCCTGTCTCAGCCATATTGCTCTTTCTCATTTGTTTGGAGTCAGGCTGCTCAGGAAATTGTCCCTACAATAAAGGCATGGTGGTGCACACCTGTAATCCCAGCACTTGGGAGGCTGAGGCAGGAGGATCACTGTGAGTCTGAGACCAGCCTGGACTACATAGTGAGTTCCAGGTCAGTCTCACCTACATCATAGTGAGACCCTGTCTCAAAAAAAAAAAAAAAGGCTTGCTATGGTTCTGGTCTGGTCTTAGTTTTCGGCTTTTTTACCTGACAGTCATAGCACCCTTGAAGAAGCTATTTCTTTTAACTACATGTTTTCAAAGCCTAGCAAGGTGTTTGGTGAGTTGATTTATCATATAAGGGAAGGAAAACTTAATGTCTGATCTGTGGGCCCTTAAGGGGGAGAAATTCAGAGCCTAAGGAAAACATTGCATCCTTCTTCCTGATAATTTTTTTGATAATTTTTGCATATAATGTGCATTGCACAATTTCTGCGTGTAGTAAGAATTCAGTAAATGTTGCCTCTTTCCCCCTTTTCCCTCATTTTACACAGTGGTGAATTGAGCCTCTCAAAGATGAAGTAATCAGCTAAGTTAAACAGCTTAATAGCAAGAGGAACAAGCCCTGCATCTTCCAGTCTGGTGAATCCTTTTTCCCGTATAACATGGGGAACATGGAAAGGGGGAAAGACCCTTGACCCCACTAGTAATCAGTTTACAAATCACTTTTTATTATGAAGCGTTTCCAACATACTCAAAGGTAGGTAGGTGGACCGGTGTAGTAACCCCTAAGTACCCACTGCTCAACTCCAACAATCATCACCTCTCTGTCAACCCCTTTCATTGCCAGCCCTCCAACCTCAAGCATTTTGAGGCAAATCCTAAGCACTTCATGAAGTTCTAACTGCATTTTTTCATGAAACTTTCTCATGTTTAGTTGCTAGAAAGGGTGAACTCAGCTGGAAAATATTTCAATAAGATGAAACCTCAATTCTTCTATAAAAGGTATTGGAACTCACATCCTCAAAAGCACCCCTGGTATCTGCAAGGCCTTTAGGGTCTTGCCAAAGTGTGGGTGCCACGACGTAAGGAACCTACGATTTGGTGAAATACCAAGAGATCAGTAAGTTTCTTCCGACTCTTGTTTCTTTGCTGAATTTCCTTTTTCTTTTTTTCATTCTTCTTTCCTTTTCTTTTCTTTTTTTCCCTTTTAGCCCAGGCTGGCCTCGAACTCTCAGGGATCCCCTTGATCTCAGCCTGTTGAGTGCTGAGATTACAGATGGACGCACCATTCCTGGCTTTTTTGGTTTGGTCAGTAGTAATACTTGTTTTGTGTATTTTTTAAAAAAAGGATCCTTATACTTTAATCAATTAATTAATTTCTGTGGTGCTACGGGTGAAACCTAGGTCCTTGCACATTCTAGGGAAGTATTTTGCTGCTGAGCTACACCCCTATACCCTAAGGTAGAGCTTTTAGAGCTGCATCCTAAAATATTTATGAATGCAGAGGTGTGAACTGTTCCCAGATAACAGTTGGGCTGGAGAAGTAGCTCACTGGCAGAGCCCTTGCTTAGTATGCAGAGTCCTGGGTTCAAATCCTAGCATGAAAGATAAAAAACAAAAGCGAACCAAACCTGGTTGTGAGGCGCACATGGAGCTACAGTTGTAATAAGACTGACTGTAGATTAGCTGGGTGAGGTGACACTCTGGGAGGCTGGGGTAGGAGGAGCACAAAGGTCAAGCCAAGCCTAGCCTGAGCAACTTGGCAAAATCCTGCCTTAAAATTAAAAACAATAAAAATAAAAACTGGGTGCCAGGGATTTAGCTCCATGGTACCACCACCTGCCTCACAAGTGCAAGGTCCCAAGTTCGATCCATTATAATATCCCGTGTATTTTTATCTGTTTGACATTTTTCATAATGAACTAAGAAACGTCGCCTGCCTCGCAAGTGCAAGGACCCGAGTTCGATTCCCGGTACCAAAAAACAAAACAAGACAAAAAGTTATTGGGTAAATGAATTAAGAAACAGAAGCTTGCCTATCTGGAAGGGCTTATGTTGCTCAGGTAACACTCTTGCCCATTCTTGCCATTCTTAGTTGCACTAAGCACCCTGGCCCGGGAGGGTGATGGTATCGTTCTCTGCCGGCCCGTACTGCAGTCTTTCTAGAACCCAATGCCCTGGTACTCTGTATCCAAGGATCCCCCTGGGGAGGCTGCGTATCCCCAAGTGTCCCTTAGCCCAGGGTGTTGATAGATTTATGTGGCCGCACTGCTTAGATGGGGCAGGTGCTTAGAATCTAGACTCCCAAAGTCAGGGAATTTGTCCTTGCTTGGGTTCCTTGCTCCCATGGATTTATTCGGCATCACAGCTCTGGCTGCAGACTCCCATGTGCCCTGTCGTGGGCTTGTCACCTGTGTGGGACTTAGCTGGGGAGTGCAGGTGAAGCTGGCAAAAAGTGCCCTTGTATGGTTAACTCTGTCCTCTGGGGCAAAGGAAAGCACACTGCTTCCCTTTAAAACTGAGTTAACTCTTTGAGCCCCATCAAATGAGCTCAGTGATGAGTAGCTCTGGCCTTTGGAGCTCCGGCAGTGGTGTTTTAAATGAGATGCATTTACCCATCGCCACCAATGCTGCTGGCGGAACTCACCAGCAAAGGCAGCCAACAAGCACAGGTCTCACTCGATTTTTGTCTTGGAGTAGACCGGTGTTCTTGAGAAGGGATCAACTGACTGCTTGCTTGTTTCAGAACTGAGAAGGCACAGCCTCATTAGAGGTCTCCGGTGGATGAGCCCACTCATCCGTATTCACTTTCTGAGGAGCAAGGAGCTGGCCCCTTGTTGCCGTTTGCGTTGCAATTGAGTCTGGGTTTCTTGTTTCCAATTTGCTACATGCATTCTCTTCTGGCTTAGAGCTGCAGAGAAAAGGAGTAACAGTAAGTAAGTTTTTTTTTTTTTGGTCCTGGGGATTGAACTCAGGTCCTTGCTCTTGCAAGGCAGGCCACCGAACAGTAAGTAAGTTTTAACTGACAGGTTTTGAATCCTGCGAGTTAAACATCTAGACAGGTTAGCAGTTGCATTTGCAATGCTTTAAAGAAAGTTGGGCTTGAATTGATTTCCAACTTTGCAGGCATCAGGGTTTATAAATGAGCATCTCTGGGATACGTAGAAAAGTATCTACAACACAAATGGTTGGAGAAGTAATAAAAAAAAGTTTGAATTTTTTTAATATTTGAAATTGTATTTATTTATTTACTTTTGGTACTGGAGATCAAACTCAGATCCCTGTGCTTGCAAGGCAGACGGCAGAACCACTGAGCTAAATCCCCAGCCCTGTTTCTTATTGTTGTTGTTGGGGAATCTAATGTGGACCCTTGCCCTTGCGAGGCAGGTGGCAGAACCACTGAGCTAAATCCCTGGCCCTATTGTTTGTTTGTTTGGGGGTGTTGAGACAGGGTCTCACTTTGTAGTTGAGACTGACCTCGAACTCACTACGTAGCCCAAGCTGGTCTCGAACTCACAGTGATCCTTCTGCCTCAGCCTGCCAAGTGTTCTATTGTTTGGTTTTTAAAGACAAGGTCTTGCTTTATCGTTCAGGCTGGCCTCAAACTCATGGCAGTCCTCTTGCTTCCGCCTCCTGAGTGCTGGGATTACAGGTGTGTGCCACAATGCCCAGCAGTATTTTTTAAAATTAAAAGTAATTTGAGATTTTTATAAAGGAATTCTGACTAATTTTTTAAGGCAGAAAAGTCGTGATCTTGGCTACACCTGGTTAAAAAAAAAAAAAAAAAGAAAAAAAAAGAAAAAGGAAGTCCTTAAGATGGACAACTGAGGCCAGCTCTAGGTTAGGAAATGGCTCCCGTCCGGCAGATAAATCTCTGTGAGAACATCGAAGTGCCATTTAGTAGCTGGGAAGAGATAATTAAACCAAATATTAGCCTGGCGTCTTCAAAGGGTTAACTCGTCAAGCAGTTTATTTCCAGAGAGCGCTTTCTGTACCTCTGCCACCCTCGCATGGCAGGACATGGCCCTCTGTCCCTAGCTCCTGGACTGGCAGCTGGATTGGACTCGCGGCCTTCACAAGGCACAGAGCGCCGGCAGCATCAGCTGCTGTCTGCACAACTCCCTGAAGAGTGTGCAGCCCCCTGGGTGCGCAGATTGATCACGTGTGCAGCTGCAGTGTACCAGTAACTGAATAGGGTGTCCGCTCAGAGCCCGGGAGCACTGCTCCTATGGATGCCCGGGAAGCGAGACATTCAGGTTTGCATCCTGACCCAACCTTAACTAGCAGGTGATCTTGGCCAGGTGACTGAGCAACTCTAAGGGTGACTGTCACTAGGTGCTGTGATGCATGCCCAGAGTCCTAGGTATTCCGGGGCTGAGGCCCAGGAGTCCTCCTTTGACCTCTCTCTTCTTGGTGTACTTAGCTTTAGCTGATTGGGGTTTGGAGAACTGCATACTCGGGCCAGGTGCAGTCTCAGCTATGCAGGAGGCTGAGGCAAGAGGATTGCAATTTCAAGCCCAGCTGGGGCAATTTAGCTGAACCCTATCTAAAAAAAAAAAAAAAAAAAAGTGTATTTTGAAGCAGGAGCTGATTTGTATTTTTCACTTGTACATTTTGGTCTTCAGATATGCCATTTACTCTGAAAAAATGGCCATCTATCCAAAAGACATCATATTTGTGGAATCTCTAGAGTGGCCAAGGGAACATTGTTCGTGGATTTGTGGCTGAATGAGACTCATCACTAGTTTGCCTAATAAATATAGATTAAAAGGATATCCAATATCTGCCTTAAGCCCACTGAGGAATATAAATTTACAGTGAAAGATCGCGACTCTAAGGAAGGCTTTGGAGACGATTCCCCGCTGCAGCTTGATGATGAAAATCAGCCTTCACTGTGCATTTAATTTCTTTTGTGGGTTCAGAGCAGATCCCTAAAGTTTCATTTGAGGAAGGTTAATCACGATAGTCTTTGCAGCCTGGGAAACTCCTAATGTTCGGTAGAGTTGGTAAAAGCTATCTGTGTGAATAAGGATGTTTAACCTTTTAAAGTAAGGCAATATAAAGAAAGATCTTCTGAAATACTATTGTTGTAGATATCCTTGAAGAAACTAATGTAGGGCCGGGGATTTAGCTCAGTGGTTCAGCTCTCCATAAAACCCGTTTCTTTTCCGAAGCAAAATTCTGTGCATTGAATTGGGAAAGTAAACATTTTTATATAAAAAGGAAATAAAGAAAGAAATCAGGGGTGGTGGGGCATCCCTGTAATCTTAGTGTTCTGGGAGGCTGAGGCAGAGGGGTTGCAAGTTCCAACCCAACCTGGGAAATTTAGCAACTTAGCAAGTTTCTGTCTCAAAGTAAAAAATAAAAATGAAGGGATAGGGATATAACTCAGTGTGAAAACTTCAAGTTCAATGCGCACTACCAGGAAAAAAAAAAGGAAGCAACAATAAAACTTTTTCCTTGATGAGATGGCAGAGATCTATTTAATACAGGACATTTTATTTCTTAGGGATGGGACCTAAGGCCTCACCCATGCTAGGGTGAATTCTGCCACTGAGTCCCATCCCGGGCCCTAGAATATTTATTTATTTATTTATGGAGACAGGGTTTAGCTGTGTAGTTCAGGGTAGCCTTGAACTCACTGTGTAGCCCAGGGTGACCTTGAACTTTCAGTGATCCTCCTGCCTCAGCTTCCTGAGTGTTTGGATTCCAGGCATGCACCACCAAGCCAGGCTTGGCCTAGAATATTTAAGACTG